GCTTGTGAACACATGTTAATTCAGATTCATCACAGTTGTAGATGCGATTTGCTTCAAATTGGTTTTTGTTAATAAGTTTTCCCAGATTGTCAAAATATCTTTGAACAGAAGCTTTATTTAAACCAAAAACTCGATTTATGGATACTGCCTCAGGTTTTCGAATAGACAAAAAGGGTTGTCATTTCAAAAATCCAACTATAAAATCTCGACCTGCAAGTGTCTTTTCAGTATTAATTGGATGGTTTGTTTTATTGAGTACAACATAGTCATACACCACCCTTTGAAGTTCATTAATTGATAGACCATAAAAGACTAACTCAATTTTGATTATATACTATGCGAAATCTTTTTCTTGGGCATCAGATAACACTTTTCTATAAGAACCAAGCAATTTTATGTGTGGTTTATCATTAGGCATTGTTTTTATTGATTTATTAACTCTTCTGTTGAGAGAATCTTCTGGAACCGAATATTTATTAGCAGCTTTATGTAATGTCATTTCTTTATTTTTGACAGCTTGGATAGCTAATTTCATATTGCTTTCATCCCATTTTCCACGATTTGTTTCGTTTGAAATTTCTAACCATCATAAAAACCATAAAATGTTTACAAAATTTTTTTTGATTTTTCGGAGTATATATCAGAGTATCTAAAAGTTAAAACAACTGAATAATGGACTGTCTCATCTTTCCCACAAAGACCGTATGTTAAAAACATAAAATTCTTACCTTACAAATCAAATTAAGTTTTCTTTTCTTTTTGGGGTATGAATAATAAAGAAATCTTTTTTTAAAAAATTAGCAGCACGACACTAGTACATCTAAATATATATCAAAAATATGAATTGCATTGAATATGTCTTCACTAAGAAACGCGTTGAAAAAAATAATGACTTTACTAAGTTTCAAAAATACCAGTTATTTTGTCATCAAACAAACTAAACATTCCAAAAAACAGGTGTATTAGGCTTAGCAAGTACAACCATAAACTATATGCTTAATATTAATGAAGGACTATGATGATTACTATCTCCAGAAAGGATAAAAGAAAGTTGTCTCATCTTTCCCGTTGTCGCATATTGCCCCGAATTACCCTATATTTGTTAATTTGTTTTAAAAATTGAAAATTAAAAAAAAATTATGAATTAACAATTTAAACTAAATAAATATAAAATAAAAAACTTACTCTTTGAGAATGTTTATGTGAGCTATTGACAACACCTAACATAAAAAAAACAACATTAAAACAAAAAATACTGCTAATATACAACTTATCTCTTGGCTTTTAGTAAATGATTAGAAGTAGCTAGTTTTAGTAATGAAACAACCTAATAATTATTTTTAACGACAGACACCAGCGAGAAAGTACGCCAAGATGTCTATCAACACAAAACATTACAACATTAACATCACAATCACAAAACATGCAAACCCTGTGCTAACAATGTTAACTTCTATTCTCAGCCCTTTACTGTTTTTAACCAATACTAATAATCATCTTAAAAAGCTCACAGGTGAAAAGCAAGATTAATGATAATCCTGAAAAGCTCACAGATGGCTCTATTTGTCGATTACATAAGAAACATATGAGTTGCCTCGATTCATATGTATCTTATGTTATATGATATATTTGTCTATTTCTATAGGTTATTTCGTCTATGATTGTTATATGTTATATCGTGTATGATTTAAATCATCTTAATTTGGAGCTGACCTGTTATCTATCGTTAAGGAAAGGTTTGAAACTATAATTAACGTCTGTTCACAAAAAATTCGGACTGATTTCAAATGTACACAAATTGTTCTAAATTTTGAATTTTTGATTCGAAATTTTTAAATTTAATCGGTCAACAACAACAGTTTTATTTTGTGGCAAAACTGAGTTTAAATAATTAATTCAAATAAACATGGAGCATCTAAAAGAGAATGATGTTAGAAATGTGATTGGAAATATTTATAAACAAAACATAAACAGTGAGAAGAAATTTACAGTGGATCATTTTAAGAAAATGGGAATCGCTAAATCTACAAATTATGACATAATTAAAAGGTCTGAAAATAATTTGCCAATGAAAAGAAAAATCGGTTGCGGCAGAAAACCTTTTAAAATCACTCCAGAAAAGATAGAGTTCATGATTGCAAGAGCAGAAGAGAGAATCGGGATTTCGCAAAGAAAATTGGCACTAAAATAGAAGATAAGCATTTCATATGTAAATAGATTATTAAGTATGCATGGACTGAAGTATACCAAAAAAAAAAATGCACCAAAAACAACAGAAAAGCAAGAAATTAAACAAAAGAAAAACTTATTAAAACTTTCAAAAACTTTTTTTAAGCCATCAAATGAGTTTGAAATCATCATGACGATGAATCTTATTTCTGTGTAAATGGTGGAAATTGTTTACAAAACTCTGGCTACTATACAAAGGATAGTTCTCAAACTGATCCTAACATTAAATTCAACTTCAAAAAAAAGTTTGACGAGAAAGTTCTCGTTTGAATTGCAATCAGTCGTTTCGGTCATTCATCGCCTTATTTAGCTGTAAAAAACTTTGCACTGGATGCAAAAACTTATTCTAAAGAATGTATTACAAAAAGACTTCATCCATTTATAAATTCCAAGCATCAAAACTTGAAACTTTTATTTTGGCCTGACAGAGCGAGATGTCATTATGCAAAACACGCATTAGAAACTTACAACACTTTAGGTATTAACTTTGTCGACGCTAAAGATAACCCCCCAAATGTACCGCAGTTAAGGCCAATTGAAATTTTTTGGGCACATTTAAAAGCAAAAGTTTATGGAAATGGATTTACTGCGAAAAATCTTGACCACCTTAAAAATAGAATTCGATTAAAGTTGAAAGAGTTCAATCTTGACTACTTTTTCAACCTAACGGATTCAGTCAAAACTAAAGTTCGAAAAGCCGCTGATTTAGGACCACTTTCGGTTATAAAATAGTTAATGATGTCCAGTCTTTCATTTTAGTTAAAATTTTTGTCAAAAATCGATTAATTTTGTATTCAATTAAGAACAATTTTTCATTCTGGATTTTTTGTGAACAGACGTTACATAGAGGCGGTGAGGAACATTTTATTGCTCTGGATGATATGCTGTATCTGGCAAAGTCTTTAAAAAGTCTTAGCAATCTTGTTAATATTCCTATATTGATGAATGGCAACATTTTTACTGTGTCTTCACTTTACATCATCTCTGGTTATCTTTTTGTACTGACCTCTAATGGAAACCTTATACAAACCATTGCTAACTTAGTATTTGTATACAATAATATAGTATTTTATTGCTCTTAGGTGCTCTAAAAAAATCTTATTTGTCTAGTTTTTTTCCTACAACATCGGTTTTTAATAATACTCTCCATTCATCTTGTTTTCCTAATTCATATAATTTGCAATCTTTTTAGTTGTCTGTTAATCGTTACTTTGTTTTATAATCTTCATCTTGGGTCTTCCAGTAACTACCAAATCTAAAAGTGGTTGCTTCCAGCCTTTTTGGAATACAGATAGTTAAGATAAAAAGTCAATCTTGCATTATTTAACAATGTTGATGATTTGCTACCTTCTGTTATTTGTTCTATCCCAACTTCTACCCAAATATGTTTTTGCTTCTAAAAGTTTAATTTCTGATTTAAACTTGAAAACTGCTAACGCTGTTTTTTCAAGCTCTGTTATTTAAACTTCTATTGTAGACAAGTCTTAATCAAGTCATTTTGATGATTGTCTTCTTGAACTTCAAGTTATGAATAGAATCTCCCAGTTTCCAATTAGGATCACCAACTAACTTTGTTAACTGGCAATTTAATTAATCGCCTTAAATTTCGTGAATCAATCACCTTTATTTACAAAATAGACAAATTAATAGAAAATATAATGAATATAAAATTAAATATCAAGCAGTCTTGCCAAAATATAACAAAAGAGATGTCAGTAAGGATTGTCAACAAAAGAGATATCAGTAAGGATTGTAAGATTACCAATTAAACCAAATTAAATCTTAAATAAGGATGTAAATAAGAAATAATCCTTATAATAAAAACTACTTCTTATTTTATATCCCATAAATTATTATTCACATCCTTAAGTTAAGGCTTAATAAGGATGTGAATAAGAATTAATTCTTATTAAGGCTTAACAAGGTTTATTAATCCTTAATAAGGATTGTTTCTTATTCACATTCTAATTAAGTCTTGATTTAAGGATGTGAATAAGAAATAATTTCAGGGTGTGAATAAGATATAATCCTTAATAAGAATTATTAAATGGTATAACCAACTTTTTTCAGCAAAAGTGGTCTCAAGATATTGATAATATTTAAATGAAACCATATGAAACTTAGTACTTTCTATATATGGCTGGAAAGAGGTTGAGAAACTAACTGATACAAAAAACATCGAGGTGCTTGCTTAAGCCTACAAAATGATATAAGAAAGTAAATTTAATGAAATTTCGGTGTTTTTTGTCAAACGTCAAATGTTTTTTGTAGTGCCGTGGAATCGCTACCTTAGGCGAGGTAATTAGATCAGATCCATCTATAAGAAATTAAATGGTAGACTTGCAGCTTAATTTAGATATAAGCCTATTGATTCTTGTTAATAAAATAATTTATTAAAAAAAGATTATTTATTAAAAAGCCTTACTTGTTAACTAATAACAAATGTTGTTGAAAAATTATTATTTTAATTGATTTTTGCTGTTTCGACAAGACAAAAAATCAGTCACTTAAAATTAAAATGGCTAACCACTGGATTATCCTCTCTTTTTTAAGTTAAAAAATTACTTTGTAAAAAATGTTTTTCTTCGAATAAAATCAGTTTTTACAATGATTTGATATTATAAACATCAGTAAGTTTTTGATTTTTTGGTGTACTTTTCTCAACAGTCAGTAAAAAAACTAACAGTTAAGAGGAAGAACTAGTGAACCACAATTTTTATATTTGTTTAAATTCAAACATTCAATGTGTTAATTTAACAATAAATATTTAGGCACTAGGAACTGATGATTCGAGCACAACAATTGACTACACTAACTCACGGTATGTTAAGAACTTTTTTGTAAATTTTATATAAAAAGAAATATAAATTTTAAAAATTATTTCAGGCAATCAAGCAAATTCACGATTGGTAAACCAGCTAAAAAAAGCAAGGCTTGGATTGTCCAGAAGAAAGACAAACGTAAAAGACAAGGAAGAGTAAATTTTATTTCAAGTTTCAATTTTTTTTTTTTTTTTATTCCAAGAGTTTTATCTATGCATTTAAAATTTATTTTAGTGTGAGAGCTGACTCTAAATATTCTGGTAGAAAGCGAAAACCGCAATTTTAAAAAATCCTAAATATGTTTCGGATTTAGTAATCCAGTTAAATGGGGTTGTGGAATATTTATCAATCTGAACCTACAGAGTGAAGATTTTTATTGAAAAAAAAAAATACTGAAACAAAAGAACTTTTTTTAAAAAGGAATAATAGTTTGGATTAGTTGTTTTGTTTTGATTTATAAATCTGTCACTTTTTCTGGCGAACACCATTTGACATCATTTCTGGCGTATATCTTTTTTATGCGTGAAATGTTTTCTTGCAGCATAAAAAAAAAAATTATAACGCCTAATATTTTATGCAATGACATGGGTTCTTGCACCGTTACATTATAATTTACTTCTTGAAGTATTTTTTGATATTGTACCATTAATACACTATTTTTGACATGGTGAAACCATTAATTTCATGATGGTACTGTTTTTTTCTACTATGTAGTTGTTTCTGACAACCTAGAGTAATGATACTTAGGTCCAACCAGTAAAATGCTTGTAGTAATAGCGCGTAAGAAGTATTTAAGTACAAATATCAAGTGTAAGGACAGAAGGGTTTTCTTACTAGGTTATTTTTTTTTCTTATATGTATATTTTACTTTATATTTATTAACTAAAACCAATTTATTATTTTTTTATTATATAAGTTTATGACCTTGACTGAATTGAAAAAAAAAACTAAAATTCTTTAGCTTAAAAATATGTTTTAATAAATTTTAAAATAACATTGTTCCTTTCAATTAATTAATTGTTATTTTCATTTTACAATAAAAACTTACCATGTTTTTTTTATTATTATTATTTAAATAATTTATTGCTTGAGAGTTAAAAAAAATGCAAGAAAGCACTCGTTTCTGTGACTACTTGAGGTGTATAATAGAATAGAAGAATAATAAGCCAAAACAAACAAAAAGAACGAAATTTAAAGTTTTTGAAATATTTTGCTTTGTAGTTCCGAAAAGTATTTTAATTGACTTTTAACACAACTATGAACCAGTAAAAATACTTCGGTCAGACAAGACTAACAAGTTTATTAAATTTAAGAACTTAGGATTTGAAGTGAAGCAAATATTAAATTTAATTTAAAAGTAACAATTTGCATAACTCACTGAAACTTGCTTACATAAAACGTACGATAAAGGTATTTTAAAGTTAAAGAAACCTAAAGCTCCTAAAGTTTTACATATTAAAGCCTAAAGCTAAAGCTCTTAAATTTGGTACACGTTAATCCACGAGAACTGTTTTGTTTCTTTTTGCCCGAAATATAAGTCAAATTTATAGTTACCGTATTATTTCATTTTTAAAACTACAGTACAGGCCCAGCCAGCATTGTATTACGAGTACCGTGTGGGACCGGTACGGGTTGCCAACTGGGCCCCATGTGGGTAGCCATCCGAAATCCCACAGGTTTTTAACCGCGGTTTCCATCCGGAGCCCATACTGGTTTGCCCGCCGGGTTACCTATATGGGTCCCAAACAAATCCCACACTAATAACCCGTATGGGCCCCATATATGAAGCCCTCCGGAACTCCAGCGGTACTTGGCCGCGGTTTCCATCTGGGTCCCAGATGGGTTTGCTGATGTGTAAGGCATTTTTGTGGAAATGTTGTATCTCTTTTTTTTTTGTCGCAAGACTGCAAGAGGCTTTCCCTCTTGCAGTCTTGCGACAAAAAAAAAGAGACACAACATTTGTATATATATATATATATATATATATATATATATATATATATATATATATATATATATATATATATATATATATATATATAGTATTACATAAATTCCCATTATAGTTTTTATAGAAAAGAGAAAGAGAAGCAACATTACAACGATGTGATGAGGGTTTAAATGTTGGCTGCTCTAGCAGATTCAACTATGTTTACAATGAGTTTTTGCGTAAGAAAAAGGCTTCAAGTTCGGCACACCAAAAGTACGAACATCTATGCACAACATCTATGCACGAACTATCTATGCACAACATGGAGCAGTACCATTTCCAGGACCATTTTTCTATTTTTCCAAGATACTTGCCATTGAAATTCCAGGACTTTTCAAAGATTTTCTTGGAAAAGTAAAAAATTTAATTTAACATTTAATTTACTAGATTTATTGGCAGAATTATTAAATTTAATCAGAATAAGTAAATCAACTTTTTCCCATCGTTTTGCGTTCCATTACCCACAATAGATACTCTTATTTCATGAAAAAAAATTTTTTTAAAAAATAATTACTTAAGCACCACATTTGAGTAAATGTAAGCAAAAATTAAAAAAACCTGTTTCAGTCATGGTTACTCCCACGGCGTTAATTTTTGTTCAAAAATCTCCCGATTACCAGTTTTAATTTTTAATAATAATTCTTAGAAATTATTATTAAAAATTATTCGAAAAACTATTGACGTTCTATTTTTCAGCAGCTGTTCTTGAGCACGCTTCGTTGAGTTTCGGTAACTTTTAACAAAAAAGCGATTGTTATTATTTAAGTAATTTTTTTTCGAGTTACTTTTACGAAAATTTTAATAGCTGTATTTTTTTATTGAATCAAGTAAAATCCTTGAGGTCGGGATCGCGTCACAAAACGAGTTACCATCTTTGTAGGGGAAAAACATTGAACAAAACGCGTAATTAGCGCGTTTTGTTCATTGTTTTAGTTTTAAAGCCGGGTTAAGGCATTAAACAAAACGCGCTAATAACGCATTTTGTTCAATGTTTTCCCCCTACAAAGATGGTAACTTGTTTTGTGACGCGATTCCGACTCAAGGATACGTTTTTATATTAATCCTTTTATTTTTTTTATTTGCGCTTACCAATTTTTAAAATGTTTACTCGAAATTACTCTTAAATACTTTAAATACGTCTAACAGTTAATAAATATTTTAAATCTATGGAATAATTTTAAAACCTAACAAACCCCCGTAAAATAATTATTTAAGTTAAAAATCTAAAAATAAAAGAAAGTATTTTTGTTCAATTTTATCGACAACTTTGCTATTGCTGAATAATTTTATTAAAATGTTAGCTTAAAATGATTTGAACTTTTTTTTTAATCTGAATTTTTTCTACTTGTAAATAATGAGCATATTTAATTTTTTTGTAATTCAAATTATTATATTAACTGCGTGCGGTTTTTAAAATACTTTATTAAATGTTAAAATAATCGAAAATTACTTCATTAAAACTCCGCTCAAAAATTTCTTTAAATATACTCAAACAAAATTTTTTTGCTCGACGCAAATAGCCCTAGCTACACGCAAAATCGCTCTTGGACGACGTAAAATTCACATCGCCCGACGCTTTATCGCAAGGCCTGTATACCTCATACAAAGTATATTTGATACCTTGCATCAGATGTTTATCAACTTTAAAAAATAAACTACAAATTGTTTTGATTTTTGAACAAGCAACATATAAACGGATATTAATGAACATAAATGAAAGAAACACAATTTTTTAAGTTATACACCAACATTTGTATGAAAAATTAATAATATAAAATATTTAAATCTGTAAAAATAAAAAAAACTTGTGAACACTTTAGTTTATTACTTATATAATGTAACAAATAGCTGTTTGAATATACTAATTATAATTCCTAAAATACTTTTTTGTAGCTGTTTATACATTTTATTCACAGTAGTACTAGTCTTTACATTACTGAAGGTCTTTCAATAATAAAACTGTTGTAATCAATAATAAACTTGTTTATCAACTTAATAATATGTTAATAATATGTAATTAAGTAAAATATTTCTTCTTCATAAAAATATTTTATGAGGTTATAATACAAGTATACAAAAAAAAAAAAAAAAATGCAGAATAAAATCCAGACAAATTTAAAATTTAATGAACATAACTTTGAAATTCATAAACACGAAGTAAAACAGAAAAAGTATAAAAGTAAAAATAATAACTAATATAAACAGTTATGAAGATCTAATAATAAAAAAATAAAACTTGCAACTTCAGACACTTTCAAGCTATTTTATTTTACCTTAGCCAAATAAAATAAAAAGTAATACTGAACTAATTTGCTTACCTTAGCCAAATAAAATAAAAAGTAATATTTAGTGTGTTTAGATCTATATAATAATACTGGACTTAATAGTAGTAGTAGTAGTAGTAGTAGTAGTAGTAGTAGTAGTAGTAGTAGTAGTAGTAGTAGTAGTAGTAGTAGTAGTAGTAGTAGTAGTAGTAGTAGTAGTAGTAGTAGTAGTAGTAGTAGTAGTAGTAGTAGTAGTAGTAGTAGTAGTAGTAGTAGTAGTAGTAGTAGTAGTAGTAGTAGTAGTAGTAGTAGTAGTAGTAGTAGTAGTAGTAGTAGTAGTAGTAGTAGTAGTAGTAGTAGTAGTAGTAGTAGTAGTAGTAGTAGTAGTAGTAGTAGTAGTAGTAGTAGTAGTAGTAGTAGTAGTAGTAGTAGTAGTAGTAGTAGTAGTAGTAGTAGTAGTAGTAGTAGTAGTAGTAGTAGTAGTAGTAGTAGTAGTAGTAGTAGTAGTAGTAGTAGTAGTAGTAGTAGTAGTAGTAGTAGTAGTAGTAGTAGTAGTAGTAGTAGTAGTAGTAGTAGTAGTAGTAGTAGTAGTAGTAGTAGTAGTAGTAGTAGTAGTAGTAGTAGTAGTAGTAGTAGTAGTAGTAGTAGTAGTAGTAGTAGTAGTAGTAGTAGTAGTAGTAGTAGTAGTAGTAGTAGTAGTAGTAGTAGTAGTAGTAGTAGTAGTAGTAGTAGTAGTAGTAGTAGTAGTAGTAGTAGTAGTAGTAGTAGTAGTAGTAGTAGTAGTAGTAGTAGTAGTAGTAGTAGTAGTAGTAGTAGTAGTAGTAGTAGTAGTAGTAGTAGTAGTAGTAGTAGTAGTAGTAGTAGTAGTAGTAGTAGTAGTAGTAGTAGTAGTAGTAGTAGTAGTAGTAGTAGTAGTAGTAGTAGTAGTAGTAGTAGTAGTAGTAGTAGTAGTAGTAGTAGTAGTAGTAGTAGTAGTAGTAGTAGTAGTAGTAGTAGTAGTAGTAGTAGTAGTAGTAGTAGTAGTAGTAGTAGTAGTAGTAGTAGTAGTAGTAGTAGTAGTAGTAGTAGTAAAACTCATATTGTACGTACATAAACTTCATGTTATGTAATGTTAAAACATACTTAAACGTATATCAAGTTCAACAGTTTGATTTTCACTTAAGAACTGCATTTCGTCAACCTTTGCTTAATTTCTAATCTTTTATGTTTTTATCAGTTAAAAAACAATTTTTATATAATTTGAAATCTTT